GGGGGGGAGGGAGGGGGGGGGATGAGACTTCTAGAAGGACAGAACAGCTGCTGCCAAGATACAGGAACCAGACAACCGACCGGTCACCCGGCTGCCCTACTTATCCCATCCCCCGAAACCCCTCCATCACATCGTTCTTCTTCTTCTCATTAACCCCTCGTCCCCCCATCAGCCGTCGCTTTGTTCTCGGCATTAACCCCTCGTGCCCCATCAGCCGTCGCTTTGTTCTCGGCATTAACCCCTCGTCCCCCCATCAGCCGTCGCTTTGTTCTCGGCATTAACCCCTCGTCCCCCATCAGCCGTCGCTTTGTTCTCAGCATTAACCCCTCGTGCCCCATCAGCCGTCGCTTTGTTCTCGGCATTAACCCCTCGTCCCCCATCAGCCGTCGCTTTGTTCTCAGCATTAACCCCTCGTCCCCCCATCAGCCGTCGCTTTGTTCTCAGCATTAACCCCTCGTCCCCCCATCAGCCGTCGCTTTGTTCTCAGCATTAACCCCTCGTCCCCCATCAGCCATCGCTTTGTTCTCAGCATTAACCCCTCGTCCCCCATCAGCCGTCGCTTTGTTCTCAGCATTAACCCCTCGTCCCCCATCAGCCGTCGCTTTGTTCTCAGCATTAACCCCTCGTGCCCCATCAGCCGTCGCTTTGTTCTCAGCATTAACCCCTCGTCCCCCATCAGCCGTCGCTTTGTTCTCAGCATTAACCCCTCGTCCCCCATCAGCCGTCGCTTTGTTCTCAGCATTAACCCCTCGTGCCCCATCAGCCGTCGCTTTGTTCTCGGCATTAACCCCTCGTCCCCCATCAGCCGTCGCTTTGTTCTCAGCATTAACCCCTCGTCCCCCATCAGCCGTCGCTTTGTTCTCAGCATTAACCCCTCGTGCCCCATCAGCCGTCGCTTTGTTCTCAGCATTAACCCCTCGTCCCCCATCAGCCGTCGCTTTGTTCTCAGCATTAACCCCTCGTCCCCCATCAGCCGTCGCTTTGTTCTCAGCATTAACCCCTCGTCCCCCATCAGCCGTCGCTTTGTTCTCAGCATTAACCCCTCGTCCCCCATCAGCCGTCGCTTTGTTCTCAGCATTAACCCCTCGTCCCCCATCAGCCGTCGCTTTGTTCTCAGCATTAACCCCTCGTCCCCCATCAGCCGTCGCTTTGTTCTCAGCATTAACCCCTCGTCCCCCATCAGCCGTCGCTTTGTTCTCAGCATTAACCCCTCGTCCCCCATCAGCCGTCGCTTTGTTCTCAGCATTAACCCCTCGTCCCCCATCAGCCGTCGCTTTGTTCTCAGCATTAACCCCTCGTCCCCCATCAGCCGTCGCTTTGTTCTCAGCATTAACCCCTCGTCCCCCATCAGCCGTCGCTTTGTTCTCAGCATTAACCCCTCGTCCCCCATCAGCCGTCGCTTTGTTCTCAGCATTAACCCCTCGTCCCCCATCAGCCGTCGCTTTGTTCTCAGCATTAACCCCTCGTCCCCCATCAGCCATCGCTTTGTTCTCAGCATTAACACCTCGTGCCCCATCAGCCGTCGCTTTGTTCTCAGCATTAACCTCTCGTCCCCCCATCAGCCGTCTCTTTGTTCTCAGCATTAACCTCTCGTCCCCCCATCAGCCGTCGCTTTGTTCTCAGCATTAACCTCTTGTCCCCCATCAGCCGTCGCTTTGTTCTCGGCATCTCTGATGGCTCCGAGTGGCACGATAAGCAGAGTTGTGGAAGTGACATAATTGGGGTCGGGGTGGAGGAGCTCTTCATATCTGAGGACGATGAGTGGAAGGAGAGCGAGGAACTCAAATTGTTTCCATTTGAAGGAGATTGAATTGCTCTCGGAATGAGGAGCTTTTATTATCGGACAATCATCCTCCATGCAGCTGCTCGGCCTCGTCTCCGGCTGCCGGCAAATTACTTCTATTCAAGAAACGGAAGATCAGTAATGGAAGAAAAAGTTCCAAGTCTGTGACGTCTGACGCCGTTGCTGGATGAAAGTTCCTGTGTCCGGTA